GAACGTCTCGGATGGTACGAGGCGACTGCATGTCGATGACCGCCTGCACCTTCTCAGGGTTCGCCTCTATTCCTCTCTGATTGATAAGGAATCAGAGAAATTTCCCAGACTCAACTCCAAAGACACATTTCTTGGGATTGAGCATGACATGGTGCCGCCTGAGTGTGGCGAAAGTTTCTCGGAGGTCCGACAGATGATCTTTTTGAAGTTTAGACTTGACAATCATATCATCAATATATGCCTCGACATTTCTCCCAATCTGAACAAAGAACACAGTGTTTATCATTCGCTGGAAAGTGGCCGGGGCATTCTTAAGACCAAACGGCATGACCGTGTAACAGTATAACCCCTGATCAGTGACGAAGGCCGTCTTCTCCTGATCTTTCTTCCATAAAGGAATTTGATGGAAACCAGAGTAGGCGTCCATAAAGCTCATCAAAGCATGGCCGACTGTTGAGTCGACCAGGTTATCAATTTTAGGCAGAGGGTAACTGTCTTTGGGGCACGCCTTGTTTAAGTCTGTGTAGTCTACACACATTCGCCAGGTGCCATTCGGCTTTTTAACAAGCACCACATTTGCAACCAGTCTGGGAAGTAACATTGCTGGATGAACCCTGCATCAAGTAATTTTTTAACTTCGGCGGCTGCCGCCTGACTTCTTTCTTCGCCATGGTTCCGCTTCTTCTGCCTTACCGGCTTCTTTTTCGGATCCACGGCCATTTTATGTACCGCCAGATCAGGACTGATGCCTGGAATTTCATGGACTTCGAATGCAAAGATGTCCTTGTATTCTTTCAATAGTTTGTGAAAGTCGTCACCCAGGACCCTTAGAGCAGTCGTCCCAACTTTGACTGTTCTGTCAGGACGCGAGTCATCTAAGATCAGGTCCGTATGCTCACCAGCTGGCTGAGGGCGGAATTCATCCGACCGCTCCTCTGCCAATGATTGCTATTTTCTGTCTTTTCTTGCGGCCCCCGTCTAGGATGCCTTTCTCTTCTTGCCGCCTGCTTCTTGAGCAGGCGCACTCTCCTTGACATTGTCAAGGTCTATTTTTCCACCACTCGACCCAGCGGCCATAACAGTGGGCTTGACATCCGAGAGATAGCACTCTCGGGCCATCCTCTGATCTCCACTTAGGGACCCGACTGTTCCATTATCCCTCTCAAACTTGAGCAACATAAAAGATGGGATTATAACAGCCTTGGAATTATTCAGGGTTGGTCGTCCCAAAATCATGTTGTAGGCCGAGAGTTCTTCTACTACCAGGAACCGGACTACCATGTGTCGTCCTTCCCCTTTTTCACCCAGGCGGATGGGTAAATCCACTCGTCCCACTGGGTGGACTCCTCCTCCTCCAAACCCTACTAAAGGGTGGGATGCCGGATGTATGCAATCAGTCTGATATTTTAGTTTCGACAGACATTTTCTACTGATGAGATTCGAGGAGCTTCCGGTATCTATGAGGATTCGGCCAACTCTCTGGTTGGCCACTTTACATTCAATAACGATAGGGTTGTCATGCGGCCCTCTTACCCCTCCTAGATCTTCTTCAGTGATGACAATCTCATGAAATGAATATTTGGAGGGCCGTTCTTGGTGAACGGAATTTACATCTAGCCGTCTGATATTGTCTTTGTTGCCCCTAATAGTGGGGCCGCCTCCTGAGAAGCCGCCTGCAATGGTGTAGACGGCTGCATCATCTGTATCGGAGCTGTCGGCCTGTTGATTCTTTTTGGCCGACTGCTTTTTCGAGGAAGTGTTCCCCGTAGATTTCTTGACATAAGTGTCAAGATCACCTTGCTCAGCCAGGCGGTCCAGATACCGCATGAGACTGATGCATTCATTGGTGTGATGACCAACATCTTCATGATAATCACAGAATTTTTCTTGGTTCCGGTTGTTTGCAGAACCCTTCATGGGGACCGGCTTCTCAATTGAGATCCGTCCCTTGATTTCCTTTAGGATAAATTGGCTATCCTTGTTAAACGCATACTTTGGGGAGTACGGTTTGAATTCTTTTTTCTTCTTCTGGGCCGGCTGTTTAGAGGAATCAGCCGCCCAGACCTCTTTTCTCTTCTCATCTTTGTTTGACGACTGTTTCTGTCGTCCTTCTCTTTTGTCGGACCTTTTCCCGTCTGACTGTTTTGCCGTACTACAAAGATTAGTCGCCTGTATATAGGCTTCCGCTTCAATCAAGGCCTCTTGAAGAGTCGCCACCCTCTTTCAGACCAAATCAAATTTGAAGGTCGACCCGTCTTTGAGACCTCTGAAAAAGTCAGTATAGGCTACTTCATCCGGTAACCCTTGAATCTGTATTCTCATCAGGTTAAACCGCCTGATGTAAGAACGAAGCCCCTCCTTCTCGCCCTGCTGAATCGTTCCTAAATCAAGGGTCGTCTTCTTCGCAGGGATGTTCATGGCGAAGTTGGAGGTGAATAAGTAAGCAAGCGTCCTGAAGTTATTTACACAACCAGTCAGCAGGTTGCCGAACCATTGTTGTGCGATTCCTTTGAGAGTCGCTGGGAAACACTTGCACCAAGTGGGATCATCCAACCCTTGAAGGTACATTAGGTTGGTGAATGCCATCAGATGGTCTTCTGGGTTAGTAGTGCCGTCATAGGCGCCTACTAATACATTTTTCACTTTGGCTGGCTGAGCGGCTTCAGTAATTTCCTTGGAGAAGGCCGACGGCTGTTCGCCAAGTCTAAGCAACCGTAGCTGCCAGTCTATAGGTTGGACATTTTTTGCTGCATGTCCACCAAACGGAGGTGGCTGCAAAAAAATACTGTTGTTGCGGTACAAACGGTAAGTTTGGTACCGCCTGGTCGCTATGAAAGCCGGACTGACGGGAGGTGCCGCCTGACTGACTCTCATGATACGACTGAGTATGCCTCATCGAGGTATTGCGCAGACTGTCTTGGAAGTTTGAAGTAGAGGCCGACTCTGACAATCGGTCACTCTTCTTCTGCTCTAGCAGTAGCCGAGCATCTGTGTATGTTTTCCTCGACCCGTCCGCCTGAATATGACGAACAGGTTTCCTCTTTCCTGGAGTAGGAAAACGGTATTTTGTGAAATCAAGGGCAGGCGGCTCCCACTTCCTAGATTTAGGATGAGGGGTCGCCTCTCGCCCTTGAACTGGCTTCCTCTTCCGTGAAGTGGAGGGTTTCTTAGCCGACTGCTCCTTGTCCAGAGCAGGCGGCTTCTTGTTGATCAACTCTTGAATTTCTCCCTTGAAGTCCCTCATGAAGGTCATGAGTTCGTTCCTTGTGATGGGAGCAGACCCATCAGTCGGCTGCTGCCGAACAGGCGGTGCGCCTGCTGGCTCACTTCCAGTTTGAAGATGTTCCCGTTCCCTCCTTTCGGTATGACGGGTACGTCGGGCCCTTAGGGTCCCGTCTGAAGCTGTGTGAGCTTCAACTTCAAATTCATTCTCAGTATCGTGGTCCGACTGAACTAGAGGGTCGTCCAGGGGACGTCTCTCTTCAGGAGCCGGTACAAACGTGGATGCCATCTCAGAAGTACTCTCCCCACAGACGACGCCAAAAATGTTTCGGGGTTTTCTGATGTCCTGCGGGAGAGTTACTATTTCGAGACTGGAACCGGACGCTCGTACCTGCAAAACAAACGGATGCTCCGGATGATTGGAGATCCGCCTCCGACGGTCAAGTTAGTACTTGATTAAGGAGTAATTAATGCGGAAATTAATGTGATTGGGTCTCTCTAGGTGAGAGTGTTTAATGGGTGTAATCTGCGTAATCCCCCTTAATCTCGGATTAAGGGAGGTATTTATAACCTCGGGAAACGTGCCAATCCTAGGTTTAGGTTAACCTTGAGCTTCCCTCGGAAGTTGGGCCTAGGTGGCCGACTTCTCCATTAGGCATGGAGTATGCCACGTGTCATGACATAATAGGTCCAGGGTGGACGAATAAGCGTGTGCCACGTGGCAAGCCCTGAGAGGTCCAACTGGGGGACACTTGGCAGGACCTGATTGGCCCACGTGGCGCATTCCGTTTGGTGGGAGCAAAATCCCCTAATCAACTCCCATAATAGCTGGCCACACGGTGTCGCGAGCCACAGTGTTAGTTATCATATCAAAATCAACTTTCCCGTATTTGAAATATAAATTTTGTTATTAAATTTTTTATTTTTTATTTTTAATATCACTATGTAAAATATATACCGTGCATTTATGCACGAGTACACTCTAATTTTATATACAATTTAAGAGTTGTTTTTCCAACTTTCATTCGCAGCACTCCAAATTCTCATCCTTGCAATTCTAGTCAATTTATTTATTTTTTTTTTTAAAAAAATAAACCAATAACCACCCTTTTTACCCATAACTACCCATATCACTCAATTAAAATCTAGCCCTTCTATTTTTATTTATCTTAAAAAAAATAACCAATAACTACCCTTTTTACTCATAACTACCCATATCACTCAATAAAAAAAAAACCAATAACCAGGCCATCCTTTGATAACTTTCACTTCAACTTTTTTTTTTCCTTAGACATATATACTACATATATCCCGTGCATGGGCACGGATACACTCTAGTAAATACTCTCTCCGTCCCATAATACATGAGACGTTGGAATTTTTTCACTATTCATGCATTAGCTTTGACCATACTTTTTTACTAACATAATAAAAACATATTTATCATAAAATATGTTGTTAAATAGGTATTAATATAAGGTTTCACTATATAATTTTTAAAATAATTTTCATTAATACTTAATTATATAACAATAAAGTTAAACTAGTATATTGATATGTGTACAATGTTGATTATGTCATATATTATGAGACAGAGGGACTAATTAAGTTAAAAACATCCAAAAGAGCAAACAACGTAAAGACGTGGAAACCATTAAAAATAACTGTCACCAAAATAAAATAAAAAAGAAAAAAAATCCAAAAAAATTCATAAATCTCTCCCTCCAATTTATCCATCTCTCCACGTCGGAAATTCCACCCCTCAATTTTTTTATTTTTTATTTTAAATTTTGACATCATCATCATTTTCATTCTTCCTCTGTAAAACTAGTTAAAATAATTGTTCCCAAAATTTCTCTCTGTTTCATTTTCTCTCTCCTCTGTAGAAAGAGAAAGTAAACCTTCCGATCAAACCCCCAATTTGATTTGATTCCATTCCTTTCTTCCCAATCTAGGGTTTCTTCTTCAATCAATTCAATCATGGATTCTAGCAGAAGAAATGCTTTACCTCCCTCCCTTGTTGCCAATCTTCAGCAAGTTTTGTCTTCCAGAAAAAATGTTGAACAAATTCAATCACAAACAACTTCCGAATCAGGCAACGAGTTGACTCAGTCTTCTTCTACTCAAGAACAGCACCAGAAATTGGAGAAAGAGAAAGAGGTTGAAGAAGAAGCTCCTTCTTCTTGTTCTCCTACTACTGCGAATGATGATGACGTTGTTGTTGTTGTTGCTTCTGAAGAACCGAGCTCGAAACCGGTGATTTTGGTTACAAATGGTGACGGAATTGAGTCGCCTGGTCTTGTTGCTCTTGTTGATGCGCTTGTTCGTAATGGTCGCTTTGATGTTCACGTTTGTGCTCCTCAATTGTTAGTCCTATTTTAATTTTTTCTTTTTTTTGGAATTTTTTTTTTTGGATTTTTTTTTTTGCGATTTTTGAGTGATTTTATTTGGTTTTGTTGATGAAATGGTTCTTTTTGTAGTGATAAATCTGCATCTGGACATTCGTTGACAGTTCGTGAGACGGTTGAGGTAAATTCTGCTGAAATCAGTGGCGCTACCGCTTTCGAAGTTTCTGGTAATCTTTCTTTTAGTATTGAACCTTTAATTGTTTGTGGAATTGTTGATAAAATTTCATTTAGTTATTGATTTTCTGGAAAATGTGATTGGTTTGAGCAATGTTTGTTGATTGGAGATTAATTATATTATGATTAATTAATAATCATGATTAATTCTGGATTTGTTCAAAAAGGTTTAAACTACATTGTTGTTAGTCTGTTAATGAGACTTTAGATATTTCTTGCTAGTGATAATAACCGACTATTGCGATTTAGTAATGAACTCTTGGCCATTTCGTTGTGGATGCCCTATAGTTTTAGGTGCTTAAATTCCTTGGTTGTTGTTGAACTAAGACCTTTGAAATGTTATTATTTTGGATTGTATCGGATTTGATGGGTTCGGCAGCAAGAGCCTGAGTCTTTTGTTTTACACTTTGACCAGGTACACCTGCAGATTGTGTGTCATTAGCTTTATCTCAGGCATTGTTTTCTTGGTCAAAGCCTTTATTGGTATGTTTTCTGAGGTGTATCGCTTTTGTGTTAGTAATCGATTTTCTCATGTTTATGATATTATAACTGAAATTTTTTAGGTACTAAGTGGAATTAATAGAGGATCAAGCTGTGGTCAAAACATGTGAGTATTTGGTGGAATGGTGGTTTCCTATCCAACATTTTCTTATAGTAATCTATGGCTATTCCATTATGCAATGTAACAAATGGTTAAATAAAATAATATTATGTTTAACCTTTCTCTCCCCGTTTTTTCTGCCTTGTGTTCCAAATGTTCTTATCTGTTGGTCTTTTAAAATGTGTGTCTAGGCTGTATTCGGGGGCTATTGCTGGATCAAGAGAGGCATTGATATATGGAGTACCATCAATTTGTATGTCATTGGACTGGTAAGTATCTTTCTTGTTGCTTTTTTTTTTTTCTTTGGTTGTCTTCTTTCTTCATTATTTTTAAATCAATTATGCTGCAGGAAAAAAGATGTTAGCTCTGAAAATGATTTCAAGGATGCTGTTGAAATTTGCCTGCCATTGATAAATGCAACAATAAAAGATATCGAGAATGGAAGTTTCCCGAAAGGCTGCTTTCTTAATGTAGAGATTCCAAATTCTCCTTCCTCAAACAAGGTTTGTTGGTGCTAGTGTTTCTATGTCACTCTTCTTTTGCCATTTTAGTGTCTTATAACACTGGTCTAATTTTGATATGGAACTTGTTGTATGTATCAATGAAAATTTAAGATTCCTCTGTGGGAGAGATTTGTTCAGCATATGCTAGGTATAGCCGTGTAGACTATCAGGCGTTTAGAAAACTGTGTTACTAGTTCTTTAATCTTTAATTTCTCTTTCAGTACATGAAGAATTTACGGAAATTTCCTTTTGAACTAATTTTACTGACCACTTTTTATTGTTGTTGTATGACGTCCTGCCGTATTGAAGATGTTATGACATGGATAGTTAACTGCTTAGTTTTTGCAAATGCATGACATGTCAATAGATATGGTAATTACAACTTACATGTTAAATCCAGACTCTTATTTATGAGGGATTTAGGGCTGGACAAGGCAATTTATCCATCCTAGTATCCTACCTCACAAATTGGGATAGAATAGTTGATTGCAAAATCATGTATGACTCTTTATTTTGCTTGTTCTCGGCTTTTTAGCTGGCTCGCAATAACCTCATGTATTCTGTCCCACTGGAATCGTCAAATTTTTCCTTTTTGGTTTACAATTTGACTATTATGCTGTTAAAAACTAATTAACTTACAATGTGAAGATATTAGGTTCGTTTAAAAGTGCATTTTATAAGAGTACGTTTTCAGGATTTTTACCAATGTAGAGAGATTTAGATAATAGTCAAACTTATTTAATTAACTTTGCAATGTCGCTTGGATAAAGGGAATACTATGTTGGTTTGGAGAATCCAATCTTTTGTGAATGTTGAAACTGGGTGTTCAAATAATTCGCTGAAATGCACTGCATGGTGTGATTACATAATCATGAATATTAGTTTCCATTCAAACCAATATTGCCACTGCAGTGTTTAAGGAAATGTACAACATCTTAGATTTGAGTTATTTGATTAATGTCTATCGACTGGATTAGAGTTTCTGCATGCTGAGAGTTGTATGCTTTAAATTGTCATTAGAGGGTATCTTATTGGTGGAAAATAAAGCCTCTTTTTAATTGTCATTAGAGGGTATCTTATCGGTGGAAAATCTAAAGCCTCTTCACTTTTAATAATCTTGGAGTAATGAGGATCTTTCTTCCATTTATCTCTTTGTCTTGTGTCTGACCGCATCACCAAGTTAAATAGCTCATCTATGTTGATGTTTTAAGGCTGTTGAGGTACCAGGAAAATCAGGAGGGTAAGACACGTGGTAGGGGGCACAAAGTTGGCATGAAAATTTTTGTATTTTGGTTTGTGCAATACCTACTATGTAATTTTTTTGTGGGATGGTTATTGGTCATCACTTCTGCGTGGACCTGCAGTTCAGGGCCCTTCAAGCACTGATTCAATTGTTAGTAATAATATCATTAGTCATTAATGTATTAAAGGTGTGTTCAAATTTAGAAACGGTCCTGCTATGCTGGACAACTAAACTGATTAGTTTGTTTGCTGTTCTTGGCAGGGTTTCAGATTGACTAGGCAGAGCCTGTGGAGGTCTAGTCTATCTTGGCGAGCCATTTCTTCATACAAACATCCGTCTGCAATGAATTTTATGGCCAATCAGCAAAGCCTTGGTATTCAGCTTGCTCAGCTGGGACGAGATGCCTCAGCAGCTGTGAGTACTTTTTTTTTTTTTTTTTTTTGCTTCACGGGATACTGTAATGCTGTTTGTATATTAATCCAATTATGGTATATGTTACATGTTTTCCAGGGTGCAGCACGCCGGCTGAATACAAATAGAAAGACAGTAGAGGTTGAATCTGTTGGGGTTGCAGGTAAACCAAAGACCAGACAAACAATTAGAAAACATTACCGTCTTGAGGTATGTAATTGTCAGTTATGTCCTGCTGTTTTTGCCAGAAGTTGACCCATCACTTTGTTCTTCTGGCTCTTTTGTGTGCTTCGTAAATATTGTGAATGAGTAGTCAATACGTTCTTTGCCTAATTTGCAGTTCTTGGATGAGGAGAAGGAAGATGCAGATGATGAATTAGATTTTAAAGCAGTACAAAATGGATTTGTGAGTTCTAAGCTTTTTAGTCGATAATTACAGAGCTACACTTTATTATCTCTTTGATGAACTATGTGTTTTCGGAATGGCAGGTTGCTATTACACCGCTAGCCTTGTCTTCAGATCTTCAGTCAGAGATTCATTTATCTGTCTCAAATTGGCTATCTTCAGTCCTTGCAGCATGGGAACAATAGCGTCTCCTTAACCCAGTACCAAGTAAAAAATATTCTTACTTGCAGACGGACAGTCGACAACTCGACATACATTTGGGCTGGTTTCTTTTGCCTCCTTTGATTGAAGAAAGCACATATATTATTTGTTCATGTGCTGACTTAGGTAGTTCAGTGTGAGTGATCTCCGTTGGAATTTGAACTTTTTTGTCAACTGCTTTACTTGTGAAAATGATTATCCGTCATGTTCTAGTCTCAGCCATTCGAATTATTTGTTGTACAGAGGTCGTTGGACCTTTTTCCATATTGTTAAAGAGATATAAATGCACGTCAATTCTTAACTTGTTTATGCTCTATTTGGTTGTAATGATGCACCATAACTCTTTTTATGTGTGGAGCTTGTAACAGAGATACCTCCCTGTAAATTTCGCAAAGACGAAAGAAAGGCATTGCTATTTTTTGGGATGTTTTATAACTTAACATGCATTAATTTATCAGTTTGTGTCTTTCATTGTCTCTTTTTTTTTGGGCTTGGTTGTTGCCATTATGTGCTTTTATGCAAGGAAATGAAGTTTTTATTTGGCTGACACATCCATATCTGAGTAACGAAAATATTACTAATATTACTGTCTATATATAACTTCTTCCGTAAATCCATAGCCTGTACAATATAATTACCTGTACAAGACAATAGGAGTTCATCCATTTACCAATTAGTTGATTCAGTTCTTTATTATCATTATTGTTTGGGTCCAATTCAGTCATCCTAATTGGGTCGGTCCAAATGATTTAATTACAAAAGCCCAAAACAAGGATCAACTCTCCAAAGCATGCTAAGTCAACCAAGCCCAGTTAGCATGGCAAGCCCATCTGACTTGTGGCCCACTCATCCATTGAACAAGGTATAAAAGCCTTCAATTTTCCCTCTTACATTAATTCACAATCAGCCTTAGGCAATTAATTCTCTTGCATAGCTTTATCTCTCAATACACTGAACTGACTTTAGCATCGGTGGGGCCTTCCTCGGCACAACCCCCGAGGCTAGTTTACGTGTGTTTGCTGTGCAGGAAATCCTCGGCTCAGTCTCCACTTGGACCGAGTTCAGTCTTCTCCCACCGAAGAGAGCCTGCCGAAGGTCCTATTGTTTTCATACTGAAACAATTTGGCGCCGTCTGTGGGGAAGACTTTAAAAAACAAGCCATAAATCAACCAATCTTAGCGTAAAAATGACTAAGATCGGTAAGAGTGCCAAGAGTACTAAGAAAAATGATCTTTCCTCTTCGAAGAGATCTAATTATGGTGAGAATGAATCCACCAATTCCACCATCACCGAAACCTTCTTCTTCTTCAAAGACTCCCTCTTCCCCGAAAAGGGTAGCATCGAAGAAGTCACCCTCCCATCATACTCGCCAGCCGACAAGTTTGTCTAGGCCGAATCAATCAAGTGCAAAGAGTCCTCCTCCACGAAGCTTACATTCTCAGTCTCAACTGAGAACAACTCCTCAAACAGGGCCCTCTACGGAGGAAGTGCTGAGAGCTATTGCGGTCTTTATGGACCTTATGAAGGCCCAAGCAGGCAACTTTCCACCACCCTGTGATCACTCACCTCTTCCGCCAAGAAACCTTAGAAGGAGGATTGGCCAAGAGGATAGTGGACGGGCTCCTTCCTTCAAGGAGCTCGGGGACAAGTATGAGGTGGGCACTTGGAGGACCGAGCTAGAAAGGAAAAGGTACCCCCAGTTATTTGACAATTCCAAAACCCGGGACTTAAAGAGCTACAAAAGCAGCAATTCCACCTCCGCGTGGCAAGAGCCTGCTCGCCTAAACGTTAACGAACGTTTAGGCTCAAGGGAGATGAGCGTGCATAGTCGCCTCACCTACCCAGGGGGGACCGAGCCATACCTCGAATCGTCTCAGCCGAGAACGAAAACCACTTCAACCTCTTTAAGAGGAAGGAGCGAGGTCCCAACAGCTAGACGTAAAGGGAAGACCGTTATGGTTCCTACCAGCTCACCCTTCCAAAGCTGGATATTGGAAGAACATGTGCCAAAGGTAAAAATCTCGGCGCACATCACTTGTGACGGTACTTTGGACCCGAAGTACCACATTGCCTCTTACGAGGGGCACATGTACCTTAATCCCAGGTCCGAGGCTACTTGGTGTAAGTACTTCCCAACCACTCTCAAAGGTGTTGCACAAGCGTGGATCACCAAGGGGGTGAAAGAAGGCTCAATAACCGGTTGGAAGGATCTTTCCAACAAATTCAAGAGCAAGTTTTCCACGGAAAATCGCCGAGAGAAAACAACTGCATAACTGATGGGTCCGCAGCAAGGGCAGGACAAAAGCCTCCGAGACTATCTGACTCGCTTCAGCAACGAGTCGTCCAGAATCACAAGCCTGGACCAAGAGCTAGCCGTTTTCGCATTGCGGAATGGCCTGCAAGCTGGCAAGTTCCTTGACTTCATGGTCATGCATCCCCCGCAAACCTTGGAGGAAGCTTTAGATATCTCGGATAAATACATCCGGGCCGAAGAATGGAATAAAACAAAGTCCTAGTCCCAATCCGGGGCTGGGAATGCAAAAGGACAACTGTCCGAAGGCCATGGACAGAGGAAAGGGAAAGCAAAAGCCTCTGAACCGTCCTCGGCTCCTGAGCCGAAGAAAGAAAAGACCCCCTATACGGGAAGATATGATTCTTACACTCCTCTCACTCTTCCACGTGCTAAAATCTTTAGCATAACTAAAGACGAGGGCAGGTTCAAGAAGCCAAGGCCTTTCCCACCATGGCATTAGAAAAAAGGCAAGGACCGGTGGTGTGAGTTCCATGAATCTCCTGGACAGCACACCGAGGACTGCCTCCAGCTGAAAGATCAGATCGAGGACATGGTCCGAAAGGGCTACTTGAAAAATATCTCGCGGATCGCCGCAAAGAGAAAAGGGCCGAAAAGGATCCTCGGCAAGATCTAGATTTTCCCCGAAAAAAGGACAAGCCGAAAGGCAAAGAAACTCCTGATATCCTTGTAATTTCTGGAGAAACCTCCCGGATTGCATTAAAACGCCACTTGAGGGGCTTGACCTATTAAGTGAATCATGCTGACATTCGAGCACCTCAGCCTGCGGTGTCGAACATCCTGTTCACAGCTGAAGACTGCCGGGGGGTGGTGTACCCCCATGACGACCCGTTGGTTATTGTGACAGGCATTGCAAACCACAACGTCTGGCGAACCATCGTCGACGGTGGTAGCGGTGCGAATATCCTCTTTCGAGGAGCATTCGACCAATTAAAGTTGGAGACCAAGTACCTGACCCCAGTACCCCATTCCCAGTATCTGGATTCAATGGTTCTTCATCGTATCCTGATGGGAAGATCCTTCTTCCTTTCACCATCGGCAAGGGCCGAGCAACCCGGAACATCATGGCCGAATTTTTGGTCGTGGACGTTCCGTCGGTGTACAACGTGATTATGAGGAGACCCCTCATTCACGAAATTCAAGGAGTCGTCTCAACGTGCCATCAGACGATGATATATGTTTCGGATGAGGGACACTCTGAAAAAATTCTGGGTAGCCAAACGGAGGCCCGAAGATGCAATCACCTCAAACCATCCAAAAGTCGCCACGACGACTGGGATGATGAGGAGAAAAAAGAAAAGGACCGATGCACAAAAAGACCTAAGGGTTTAAGTGCTTCGGCCTAGGGCACCCCAACAAAAGAAAAATCTCTGGGGAAGGAAAAAACTGGTTCCTCATCTGAGCCGAAAGACTCAGAATATCAGCCAAAGTCTGGGAAGCCTGCTAATATCGAAAGTAGGCCCGATCGAGAAGAGTCTAGTGCCAAAGCTATGGAACTGGACAATCAGACTGAATTAATAGAGTTGGTCGAAGGGGATTCTGAAAGATGTGTCAGCATTGGGCTAGGACTTGATCCGAGCGTCCGTGTTGAACTCATCCAACTCCTTCGGGAAAACAAAGATGTGTTCGCTTTCTCGGCAGCAGACATGCCTGGGATTGATCTGAACCTTATCTCTCACAAGCTTAATGTCGACCCTACATGTCGGCCAATTAAGCAGAAGAAGCGGAATCACTCCATAAATAAGAACCAAGACATCGCAGCCGAGGTCAAAAAGCTTCTGGATGCAGGTTTCATTGAACCTTGTTAGTATCCAGAATGGTTGGCCAATGTGGTGATGGTTCAGAAGGCAAATGGCACCTGGAGAATGTGCGTTGACTTCACAGATCTAAATAAGGCCTGTCCGAAGGACTTTTATCCCTTGCCGAGGATCGATCAGTTAGTCAACTCGACAAGCGGGCATACCCTGCTTAGTTTTTATGGACGCATTCTCGGGGTATCATTAGATCTTCATGCATTCCGATGACCGAGCAAAAACGGCCTTCGTTACAAGCGTCGAGGTGTATAACTATAAAATGATGCCCTTCGGATTGAAAAATGCGGGGGCAACATATCAAAGGCTGGTTGATCAGGTCTTCGCCGAGAAAAAGGAGCGTAACATGGAAGTCTATGTTGATGATTCTATCGTCAAAAGAAAAAAGGACCAAGACCATGTCACGGACCTGGCCGAAACCTTCGCCACCCTTAGAAAGCATCAAATGAAGCTGAATCCGAAGAAGTGTGTCTTCGGCGTGAATTTAGGCAAGTTCCTCAGCTTCATGGTCAGAAAAAGGGTGATTGATGCCAATCCCGCCAAAGTTCAGGCAGCTCTGGATCTTCCCGAGCCAAAACAAAGAGGGACGTTCAGCGCCTCACTGGCAGAATGGCTGCCCTGTCTAGGTTCATCTCTAGAGCCTCGGACAAAGGGTTGCCCTTCTTCAAAGCGCTAAAACTCCAAAGGAGCTCATCTAGGAAGATGAGCTAAAAGAAGCCTTTAAGAAGCTCCGTGAGCATCTGTCTCAACTCCCAACATTGGCACCGCCAGTTGAAGGAGAATCTCTATACTTATATGTGGCAGTCAGCTCGGCCACTATAAGCGTGGTGTTGCTAAGGGAAGAAGAAAAAATTCAGCAGCCGATCTATTTTGTCAGTCACACTCTAACAGATGTCGAGACTCGCTACCCCCTACTCGAAAAAGTTGCATACGCAGTAGTGGTAGCCGCTCGGAAGTTAAGGCCCTATTTCAATTGCCATCAAATAGTGGTCTTAACTGATCAACCGCTTGAAAAAGTCATCGGCAAAGTAGAAAAATCTGGTAGACTAGCAAAGTGGGCCTTCGAGCTCACTGAGTTCAGTATCAGCTACTAGCCGAGAGAAGCTATCAAGGCTCAGGCCTTAGTAGACTTCCTGGCCGAGTGTTCTTATCAAGAGACACTTGATGAGGAAAATAAATGTGGACCGCTTTCACGGATGGATCCTCCACCGTGAATGGTTCGGGGGGCAGGGTAGTCATAACCTCGCTCGAAGGCAAGTCGTTTGAATATGCACTGAAATTCTCATTCAAAGCTTCGAATAAT